AAAAAAAAAAAAAAAACACTATTGTGCTGAAATCACTCCCCATATTACCCACGCTGGAAAGCTGTCTGCTCCATTGTAAACGAATCAGATGGTCCACTGGCCATAGAGATAAAAGGATTTGAAATGAGTACAGAGGAGGAACGCATCACATGTACCTCTTTCACAGAAGAGCTGTCGCAGCAGTCTCTCCTAACCCCTTCAGCGTCTCCTGGGGACGCAGTCCATAACACATCTCATCTACACTCTCTTATTTCCTTATTTCTAGTCAAATCGAAGATAAAACCAGTCCATCCATCATTTCATTAGCTGGCAGCTGTGATCACACACACACACACACACACACACACACGTTAAGCTTCAGGTTTTGTTTCGACGGCAGCAGGACGTTAAGTACATTGAGACGGAGCGGACAGCCGGCGAGGGACGCAGTGGGGACTGCGAGAGGAGGAGGAGCACGCCTCAGATGATGCCGAGCTCTTTTTCCTTCGATTGCTTATTAATACAAAGGCCAGACCCCGCATGGAAGAAAGACCAGGAGAAATTCAAACCCATCTGAAATGCAATATACCCTCCTGTCCCCCCCCCACGCCATTCCACGACAGCATGTGAACTTGACAAAGGCGTCTGTGCCCAGGCGAGCTGCAGCTGACGTTATCAGATAAACCCAGGAGCAAGCCAATACAGAAATAAGGAAATCCGGCACGTTGCGCTTTGTTGGGCAAAGATTGAGTGCAATCGACTTTTCATTAATCGGATTACAGTGAAAGCCATCCTGAACCTGCTGTAAAGGCGGCAGTCTTTTACACTGGTCCTAAGAAATAAATACAAACCCCAGATCTCCACGCTGGCTCCCCAGTAGAATTGACTCAAAGCCTCTAATAACCTCTTCAACAATTCTGGATGTTAGCTCAATACAGCTTAGTCTGGGCAGGAAGATGTCCTCCAGCCTGCCATTTAGTTATTTTTAGTTCACATTTTATCACAATTTTCCAGAACGCACTGACCAGAATTACGATGAACCTGTATGCCTGGCGTGAGATGGGGAGGGGCAGAGTCCCGCACAGTTCAGTTTCCTTTCCTGAAGGTTCGGCCCCAGAGGGGGAGAGAGAGAGGGGCTACTTCTCCGAGCTGGAGTGAACCGCCTGTAGGATAGCGGGGCGACGGGGCAAACCCCGCAAAGAAACCACATCAGGCTCCCCAATATCCGCTTGGCTGGCCACCAAGGAACATTCACTGGAACCCCCAACCCAAGAGCAGAAGCCAAAGACCCACGGAGAGCCTGCCAGACAAAGAGCAGACTAGGCCAAGCGCAGACCACTTTCATCCAAGTCCCCAGGACGGAAAACAGCTGGAGGGCTTTAGCTTTTCCAGCAATCCTTTTTCTTGGCATTTCTTTTGAGATCTCATAGGTTTCTGAACAGAAACGTAAATCCAAAGGCAACAGAAGAGTCTGTGTGGCTTCTGTTCTCTTCCCCTTGCTGTGTGTGTGTGTGTGATGGACAGTGTCCAGACCAGTAGGTGGAGACAGACGTTAAATAACCAGCACATAATAGAGGATACTGTGGTTATCACTGCAAGGCCTTAATGGGGCCTACACCTTTACCGATGGGCAGCTGTTGGATCTCTGTGAGCACATGCTGTTCTAAGAGTTCAGATATTCCCAGTATGGTAAGAGGGGTCCCCCTGCTACAGTCAGAGATGTTCTGCACCAGTAGTGAAGGCAGTCCTGGACCACATGCAGTCTGTGGACAGGAAGCAAAGCGAAAGATACTGTAGGTACTTGTCAATAACCAGAAAGATTATCAAGTCGGTCTTGCATTTAGTCACGCAATTAGTCACGGTCACGACTCTCACCAAGAGAACAAGCGAAATTAGTGAGCTGAGCATGAATAAAACTGCTGAATCAATAACTGTTTGGTTATGATTGTATGGACTGCGCACACACTAGCACAGTAACTTCACCGCCTCTGAGATTAAAGCATTCTAACCATGCACTAATTAAAGGAAATAGAAAATAAGGGCAATGTTTATCACCCTCTTGGTGAGAAGGACTGTTATTAATATCGCTTTTTAAATGCAAATTTCCAGTATAAATAAATCATCAGTGAGGAGATTGTTTTTTCTTCTAGGAGCCAAAATGCTCTTAGGGGAGAAGGAATACCGGTTTGATTTTTAACGAGAACTCTGAATACCTGCTGAAATATTGGCTACATCTTTTTTAAAGGTAATTGAGTTTTTTTAAGAGGACAGGAGCTTTTGCACAGTAGGGGGATTTGAAATAATTCACAGCCAGCTGGACGCATGTCTCCATAGCACACACCAAGGATTCATAATCCAGGTCCTGGAGACCCAGTAATGCTTCCTGGGACTCAGTTAAATGAATGGACCCTTTAACAGGGCTCATAATGAGTGCAACTTAGTTTTCAGTTTCTAAACATATAGGAGTTTGGCCTTTCAAACGAATGTGATTTATAAATAACATACCCAACCTTTGAGTGGAGACTAAAAACACTTGTGAAGGTAAGAAGCAACTTGTTGGTTCCAGTAATGACATGTTTAAGTAAAGAGCTCAGCTGCAATGAAAAATAGCAGGTTTGGGGGGTACCCACGAATAGGATTGGGGACCCCCAAGCAAAACAAATAGTTGCATCAGAGATGTGTTTATTTCTTCTTCATCACAGCTGTACTCTTTATCCCTCTGCTCTCAGCACATAAATTAAACTTAAACCAGTAACTAACCAGTGTAAGCTCATAGCTAATAGCACTCTACAGCTGGAATACAAACTCCAGGACCAGCGTGTACAGCAATACCTGTGCCCAGGTACATGAATGGTCCTGGTAATTTTACAAAAAAATTGTAATTACCTACTACTAGCAATGACCATGAAGGGGTGACACAAGGAAGGAAGCATCTTGATGTTCACTCTTGACCAAGGCCTGCAGAACTGCCAGAGGTGAAGTAGACGACAAGCACTTAAAAGCTATAAAATTGAAAATGTTGTGTCTGGCACGAAAGATAACCGTGTTTCTGACAAGAGCCTGGCTGCAACACCCAGTCAAGGTCACCAGTCTACTTCATACTTGTTCTTTGTGTCCTTTGAGCAGTGTGTTCTTAATGGCAAGCACTCCAGAGTCCGATGTGTTTACACTGCTGTTCCAGTGACAGAAAGGCTATCTTCACCACTCCTCACAGAAACTGTCCTCCAGCTATCAGTGACTAAGGGCTCAGAAAGGCTTCCACTGGTTGAAAAGGGCCTAGTGGAGAATGAACATTGCTCAACATTTGTTCTTCTTGCAAGATGCTGTAGGTTGTGTTCTCACCTGGTTAAATGGAAGGAAACCCTGGCTTAGTTATCCGAGTGCACAGAAAAGTCAGGGCTGTTTCTGATTGGTTACCTCTGGTCTTACCCCAGTCACCGTTTCCTTAACAAGCTGGTACACAAGTTTCTGCTTCAAAGAAAAAGAATCCATCTCATGCACTAGTAACTGCTTCATGCTCCATTCCTTAGCTCAGCCAATACAATTTCTATCATATCATCAATTTGTAACAAACACACTCTTTTCAGAAACTCAACGTGTACTATGAGCACCTTTTCCTTTTGTAAAACATTGCCAACCATAATTGGCAAAGCATTGACCTCAGGACTCAAAACTGAATATCCTTAAAGCTTCTACAAAACACCAGGCACAAAACTGAGCTGAACAAATCAGCAAGCTAGTTTCTTACACGTGTGCATCAAGAAAAACATGATCAGATTTGTACCACATTAGCAGTATGTAGAATATTGCATATTAATAAAACAGATTTATTTAAAGAGGATACCTATTGAATTGTGAACAGCTCACGGAGAAAACATTGGGGCTCAGGTGGAAACGCTGCACTCTGCTGGTGCTTAAATATACACCAGTGTGTTCCAGGTTGTTGACTTTTGTTCGCGTACAGAAATTCTGACATGATTTCGGCACAGATTAAAAAAAACGATGGATATCGCCACTTCGGTCATGGCAACATGAACTTTATGGTAAACGAGTACTATAGAAATGTCACTTCCCCGCAATAACCCGTCTCCAGGGCACATTGGAGAAACACCTGTTCTAGTATTCCGTGCTCTAAGCAATTTGTACTTGAAGAACCATTCTCCAGTCGTTTGGGGGGTGAATCTGTTCAGGATGTAACGGGCTAACCAAACAAATCACCAAGAAAAAAAAAAGGAAAACATTGCAAATTAACATGAATATTGTTCGACGTTAGCCAGCCTGCACTTGTTTATTAAAATTACTTGCCGAAATAATGTCAGGATTTTTCTCAAACCAGATATTCTGTATAGAACAGTGTACTTCTTCGGTGAATTCAGACCTCTACCTTCAACAAATTTGTGTTCCCGAGCCTGCTTCGGTGGCAAATTTACGTCAAGTGTCCTTAAAATTGATGAAAAGCAGAATGTCTGCTTCCGATTTAATGCGCGCACAAAACGTTTCACACTTTTAATCAATTATACACGAAGCCTGTAACCTCAACCTAGAGCATGCGAAGTCTCCCTCGTATAATAAACCGTCCACTTTCTCTCCAGGCTGAACGCAAGGCGCCCTCGCTTCTGTCCAGGCGCAGGTACAGTAGGGTCTGACATTTAAACTGCAGGGCACTTAAAACACTTTCACTTGGTGGAAAAGAGCTGTAAACCCTTTAAAGAATTAATTACGCACAGCGCCAGAAGCCGAAGCTCATACTAAGAGCTAAAAAAAAAAAAAGGTGCTTGCAACTTTTAAAGGGTTTCAAGACCCTTCTGACTTCTCGGCAACAACAAGGCAAAAATGAGTTCACACGCTGCCCCGAATTTAGTACACAAACGCGGGACCCTTTCGGATTTCGGCAAAGGCAACACAGAGGCCAACTTCCCCGTCCTCTCCCAACGAGTTTATCCCGCAGGAATCTGACGGACCCCCTTCAGGGAGTTTCACTGGGGATTCAAAACCCGCGACACCGGAAAGATTTCACTCACCTGCCAGGAGCTGGAAGGAATTTCGGCAAACCGCCCCAGCCCACCAAACGTGTAACAGCTGTACATGTGGTCCAGGGATTCAGAGCAATGCCAAAGCAGCCCGAAGCTCACCGAGTCTTTATTTTTCAGGTGCTCCTTGACAATCCATGCGGGGGATATGAAACTAAAACTGCAAATCGCAACCAAAGCCGAAGACAAGAGGACCCAGAAACATCCCACGCAACTGAACATCCTCGGACCGTGGGGCGCGGAGCCCGGAGACAGGTCGATCGCTACCCCAGCTTTCTTCTTCTTCCGATCCAGCAGCGAATGCATTGGGGAGTTCAGTCACCGCGCAAAAGATGGGGGTGGGGGGGACGACGATGAAAAATATCACCTCCCCAAATATTACATCAGAATCCACAACCCAGGGACAAACCCACACATCACGCACCGACCGCGAGAGAGAGAGGAAACTGAAACAAGACGTCAGACGACATTTAACTCCGGCCAAACGAGAACAAAACCGCTCGCCCCGGCTCGGCTCGGCTCGTCTTCCACTGTCCCCCTCTTGACGCGTGAGTTCGGGTTCAGGGAAGCGGGGGAAAAAAAAAAAACAAATCAAATAAAAAAAGTTTACAAAAAGACCGGGGAGAAACAGGTGACAGCTGTCGCACCCGCACAACGAAACTGGTAACAAGACACCGCGGACCCCCGAGCATCCGACATCCCGCTGGAGCGCCGTCTAAAACAAGTCTCCCATTCCTCCGGGTCCAGCCTTCCTCGCAGGGGCGGGGGGAGAAGAGAGGGAGAGCCTGAGCGCTACAGTTTCGTCCTCATCCCCTATTCCGCTTTCGAGTGAAATAACTCCCTGTCTGGGGGGGGTGCGGGTAGCAGGCAGCCCTGCGCTCGTCCAGGTAACGCCGGGGTGGCAGACAGGTGCGGAGCCGCAGGAGGAGGAGGAGGAGGGCGTCTCCTCTCCCGATTCGCCCGCCGCCTCTCCTCTCCAAGGTGCGCAGCCCCACTCGCCGTGATCAAGGACGCCGGAGCGCTCGCTGCTCCAGCCCCGGAGTCCGTCCTCAAACGCTGCTCTGGACGCTTTGCTGCTCATTTGTACGCGAGCAGAGAAGGGCGGGGGAGGTGGAGAGGGAAAACATTTCCCAACAGCAAGTGGCCAAGCCACAGTTAGGGCGTTTCTCCTCGCCAGCCGAGCTCGGCTTGACTTGAGAGTGTGTGTGGCAGCGCAGACGTCAGGCCGCTGGGACAACACACTCGGCTAGAGCCTTGACAGAAACAGGTCGGCAGTGGGGACTGTGGGTTTTATCCCAAAAGTAAATGTCCAGGGATACCGTACAGTTTTTAGCCTGATGCAGATAACCTGCTTACGCTTTAAATATTACGTTCGGGGGTTACATGTTTGATGCGTTTGCTTGCAAAAAACGTAGCCCGAGTTAGCCCCCGGCTGTTCAGTGGTGGTAAGGCGCCAGGGCTGCATCCATTAAGCATTAAAAAAAAAAAAAAGTCAGACACGGAATAAAAACTGCTTTGGAGAACGGTTGGTGTAATAGTCGCAGCTAATTGTCAGTTTTACTGAACCCCTAAACTCTCCGGTATATTTAGCCGACAGTGACCCCTGGTGGTACCGTGCAGGTATAACCACAGGCAGAACCGTTTCATTCCCGCAGTTTAGAAGGGCTGCAGCCTCTTCGTGAGGGAAAGAACTCGTTACACGGTCACACAATACCTACTTCAGGTTAAAAACCTATCTTAAAGGCTGTTTACAGTTTTTTTTTTTGTTTAACTTCTTAATTTCAATGCACCACCTCTGGTTTCACGTTCTGACATGGGATCGGTTAATACATCGAGAATCTCGTCGCCTCACCCTACAGCCCCTCTCCCTGCTCCACACCTTAGCATACAAAACAGTCCTCTGAACGATGGGTCCACCTTCACATGTCTTTACAAAGCAGACAGTAAAGAACTCCCCTCACACCCCCGCATTAGACGCTGCAAAGAAGACAGCAAGAAAATAATCATTTCCACCACTTGATACTTTGTAGTAGGCTGTAGATTTTAATGGTTTGCACAGAGGTAACCATTTCCAATCTGCGCAAAGGCCTTGTGGAGTACCTCTCAAGAAAAAAAACAAAACATGAATTTCCTCTATTAATAAGGCAGAAAGCGCCCTCTATATTTTTTACTTCCAGAGAGACTGAACTTCCTCGTAGAGCCATTTATTGTTCAGGTGAACAAGGCTAATGGCCAGAGCAGAAATTGGACTTTTACTTCTCTACTGGGAGTGCATTTTAATTTATTCACAGGGGATCCAACAGCATTAAGTTTCCCTTGAAAGTGTACAAATCCATTGCTTAAGATTTAGAAAAAAAAAGTTCACACAGATTTTAAAGCAGTGCTTATATACTGCAGTCACAGAGGGACCTACTGTACAAAGAACCTTTTTTTTTTGGCTTCGCAGATTCCAGTTAAACCTTTACAATTGCAGGAATTTGCAGGATTCTGACACAGCAAAGTTCCTTCGATATCCATCATCTTGGGAAACAAAGTTCCAGTTATTTTTCCCCATGGGGGTTGTATTTAAGTAAAAATACAGACATGGGGTATCTCCTGATCTCCCGTTATACAGTAAAGCTGTACCTGCAGCTTGGGGTTTTATTTTTTAAAGGATGAAAAAGGGACCTCCTGAAACGACACTGTGACGAGAGGAGATTCGCCCATTCCACCGATCCCTGGCTCTCCTCTTTCCTAAACACGAACAGCTGGATGTTAGCCCAAAGCCTTCAATTATGTCTGCGAGCAAAAAAACAAACAAAAAAAGAGCATAGAAATAGCCTGATACTCACTACTAGTACAGGATAGGGTGCAGCCTGTTCCACCTTTACACACCTCCGCCTCACAGTGAAAGTAGACCTGATCGAAAGCAGAAAAAGATGGGTTTTTGCCCTCTGATACGGTAGGCTGCAACGAGGCATTTCAAGCCAACTTTCACGGGCTGAAGAAGAGAACCACTCGGTAGTACTCAATCAAAACAGGGAGCAACCCTCATGCAATGCAAACCATTTCCTAGTTTGCTGTTGCAGAAGAGGGGTCGCAATGAATAAAATAATTTGCATTTAATTAAGGATCAAGGACTCTGCCATTCATACTGTGGCCTACAATAACGCCATGTCATGTCATGTCAGGAGCTGGTACAGATGGCCTATCTTTAGTTCACTGGGGATGGAAAGGCAAGGTGAGTTTCCATTAATAACCGGTAGGCTGATAGCTTACCGAACCATGGAAATTTCGTGTTGACTGCGAGTCCACAAAACTGAACATGGTGACTCGAAACCTCTTCCGGTGGTTTGGAAACTTGGAACTTGGACCTGCTAAGACAGGCTGAAGTTCCGTCTTATAGTTATCACCAGTATAAGGACACCTGCATTTAAAAAAAAAAAAAAACAGTCATTAAACCCACCATTTTACATGCAATGCAAGTGTCAAATATTCTTACCCAGCACTGAACAACACTCGCATTCTCCCAAAATATCTTCTTAAAATGCAGCTCTTCAGTAAACATAGATGGAAGAAGGCCACAGTTACAGAAAAAGGCAGTTCACTTTGGTCCAGTCTGCATTATTAATCGAATATTTGATTTGAAACCCAGAAGAACTGATTGATTGCAGACTACCATAGTGTTGAACTATTCTCTTGTACAATTGTGCAATGGGGTACAGTGCACTAGCACAGCATGATCTCTTGTATATGGCAGGAAATCCGAAAGAAGGTATCAAACAAGGCTGTCCACTTCTCTCCCTGGAGGGCTGAAGGCGTTTCTGTCCAACTCGGCTCTTAACAAGCTAAACCAGTTGGCTACTGCCTTAACAGAACGGATTAATCGCCTTCTCCCAGCTCTTTAAAAAGAGACTTGGGATATCTGCAAACCTCCCATACAGTACAGCTAGGCTTCTCTAACCCTTTCTGCAGCAGGGTCCATCGGCGGGGATCACCCGGATCTCTGCTGGGAGTGGCCCAGCAGTCGCCCAGCTGGAGCTGGAGATCTGGATCCTCCCGGTTGAGGACTCGCACCTCGGCGAACACAGGCTGGCGTAGCACGCGCACCACAGGGTGGTCCCGGGGGGAGTAATAGGCGCCGTAGGAGGAATCTGGAGGTGCAGAAACAGCCATGTGGTCACAGTTCTCCCAGCGCTTGCCCTCGCAGCATTAAGAGAAAGCGTCCCCGCTATACGATACAGCAATCCCACCATGCATGACAAAGACGCACTACTAAGGGGTTTTGGCAAACGCACAGAGAATTATAGGATGCGTTTTACCACCAGATCTCCGAGATTCACGCCATCCGCTGTCGCATTGAAACACAATTCATCACTCAGGATCCCAACAGTCCCGGCTACAAACTGTTCCCCCCCCCTGCACTCCAGCAGGCAGTACTGCACCATTAAAGCACAGGCCCCTAGGCTTAAGAACAGCTTCCACTCTACTGCAGGCACATCCTCAACAGCTGCTGTAACCGCAAGGACTCAGAACTCAGTGCACCTCTGCTCTAGGCACTTTTGACTTGGACTACCATGTTCCCCCCACCAACCACATTTATCATTCTTATGGATAATTACTAATGTTTTTAATCTACTGTTTACATTGCACCGTGCATAATATCGCGGTTTAGCAGCCCTGGAGCCCTGGGATGTTCTCCCCATGTTCACATGGGTTCCCTCTGGGTGCTCTGTCCCCCTCCCCTGCGTCCAAAAGCATACTGGGAGGTTAAGTGGCTTCTGGGAAAGCCAGCCCTGGTGCGAGTGTGTGCATGTGTGAATCTGTGTGTGCCCTGCGATGGACTGGCATCGCCCACAACCCCAGAACTGGATGAAGCAGTGAGAAAATCAGAAGGTAAGGCCACTGTCCCTGTAGAGATTAAAGCCAATAAGCTTCAGGCCAACATGCTACAGCAACTGTTTAACGCCGTGATCCCTCACAAATCCTTTCTAAAACTTGACCAGTATAGCATACTATCTCACTTAAAAATGTTACATCATGTACCAGTAATGTGTCAGACAGCATCTACCTTTAGCCAGTCTTAGTTCCAGATGGAGTGCTCCCTCACTCTTCATCACAGCAGTCTCTGCCTGTGTCTTCTTCTGCACATCTGTGTTTAATTGGGCTGAACCAATTAACAAGAACATGCAGCTGACGGTAAGCCTGTGGGAGGCCAGAGAAGATTACAATGCTCCAATATCACTTGAGTGGCTTGAAAAAAAAAAAAGAGTTTCAAGTAAGACTTCTACCCACATCACAGGTAGCAGAGCGAAAAAGAAGTTTCTAGGAAGTAGGACAAACAAACAATTAAGAGTGATGTGCAAGGTGGTTGGATTGTCCTTACTTGAAAGAACTATCCCGAAGTATAGATCCCCTTCTTCCACTCAGAATCTTTTTTTCGGCCTTGATGTCCACCGAATAGATCATTTTGCCGTTGGAGAACTGCAAGGTTATCAAATCGACTGTTACCGTTTCACAGGTCACTGAAAGCATCCATCCGTAGGGTTACGCAGGTGTCTGTCGGACGCTCGTCTACGGTCGGGGAACGGCCTTACCCTTATCCGCGATCCGCACGAAGTGAGGGGGAACCGGAATGCCACAGACTCGGGGGACATCCGTGTGGGGGTACAGCCAGCACCCCTGCCTTCTGCCACCTGCACAGTCTCCAGGAGCAGGTCGGGGACCGTCGCGTTGCGGTGAACAACGATGTTGAAGAACCCGTCCTTATCGCAATGCTGATGGGGGACCCCCTCTGCAAGCCAAGTCACAACCTCTTGATGACCCCTCACGGATACTGGTGCCAAAGAAGAACCCTACCCACACCCCAACACTCAGAATGGGAAGATACACCCCCCCCCCCCAGGAATCTATAATCTGATTCAAAATCCTGTTCTTTACATTTCCTCAGAATTCAAAGCACTGGGTGTCTGAAGTCCATACCCTAGGATTTTGCTGTGGGGAAAGAATATACCCCAAGTCAATGAAGCCAGAGGGGGGGTGGGGGTGGGGGGAAGACATTTAAGAAAGCAGATTCTTAAGAACAGGGTACTCATTACACAAAAGTCTCTTCTACCATTAAACCAAGGCGTATAACTTCATTCAACATCATCATAAAAAAAGTAATACTACATCTTTCCTTTCGCGTTTAAAGGAGCACAGAAGAGGATACCACGGAGCCACCGAGAACAGTTTTGCGCCTTACCTCTCGCCAGACTTTGGTTTTTAATTCTTCCTCACACCTGAAGAAGTCTCCACCGCCGAAACGTTGCGTTTTCTCTCTTCTCCCCCCCAGCATGGAATAATCCTATTACTTGTTCCTCGGCAGCCTACGCATGCTGACGCAGCTACCCACCTGAACTGCTTTGGTTTTTCACGCCGACGTTGTCCGGCTGAAGAGGCGGTATTCTGCAGGACACGGGGATCCTCTCGGTCACCTCGATGCGTCCACCATCAACCGTCCCCCTCACCACCGTCACCAGACTCGCCACATCTCCCTGACGGGAATCAGGCCCACCGGAGCCAATTAACACGTTAAATTCGGTGCAGAGGAACACGTTAGGGGCACCCGTGTGAATATACAGTATAAAGCCCTACCCGCCTCTGAACATAACAGCCGTTATAGGGGGTCGTCAAGAGTACGTAACGGTCCGTTTCTTCGACGACGTAGCTGCATCTGGGCGCAACTCCCATGGCATCGTAGAGCTTCCCATCAGCACCTGAAACGTTTTTTTTTTTTTTGCGTGTGTGAGGGGTATTTTTAGGAGTTTCGTGATTTGGCAGGCTTTATCACAGAATGGCTAAGGCGCAACGATCCTAGTTAATTGACAGTAAGGTCTAAGCAGGAAAACGTGAACGTCAGCCGTGGCCTCCACTCACCCACAACAAACAAGCTGAACGGCAGGTCAATGAATTGCTCTTTAAGGATTTTCACCGTCATGTTGTTGGCGTGACACGACACGCCGTCGACCAGATCCCTGTAAGCAGCCGATCGCACGATGTCCGACAGGGAGACGTAGCCCCTGTGTTGGTTTGGCTGCCTGGAGTGATCCAAGGAGATCACAAGAGAGATCAGCAGCGCAAGTCTGAACACAAGCAAAAGATTCTTCATTTTCAACCTTCGCCTCGCCACAGCAGAGCTTCAAACGGACAGACCCGTCCCCCCCGGAAAGAGCTTTTAAATCGGACGGCCGGGGGATCAGAGACAGCTGACCCCTGTTTTACTTCTAATTGGACTGTCGTCCAGAACAAGCGCAGGTGACACTTTGTGGAGTGTGTCGTCTTTCAAGACGAACCAAAGGCAAGACAACGCGATTACCATCATTTTTATGACTGTATGCGAGTTCTCAGGCGGTCCTTCCTGGTCCTGAAGAGCCACAGTCCAGCAGGCCTTATCGATCACCCTTCAATCATCAGTTTGTAAAGGTGTGGGACAGATGTAAATATTGATCAATTAAGTAAATCTGTTTAATTAAGTCCGGAATGACTGCTGGCTATTGGTCACCTGCTTAAGTGGCCAGAATGTGTTGCAAGAATTGAGAGATTGACTAGATCAGACCAGGGCAGGCCATCCAGGATATATTTCATGAGTTTATGTAACCTGGGGGGGGCAAACCCCTGCTAGAAATCGCAGTAAAACAGAAGGGACACGGAACTTAGGACAAGAGAGCACAGAGCTCAGCTTGCATGGCCAGTGTTTGCACAAGTAAGGCATACAAACTCCCCACAGACAGAAACCCAGGTGTAGATTTGAACCCATGGCCCCCAGCGCTGCGAGGCAGCAGTGCTGACCACTGCACTACCACATTACACACACTGTGTTGTTCTGTTGTCAATATTTAAGTCTTTTTTTCTCCCCCACTCCAGTATTGCTAGCGGAGCACGAATCTAATTCAGGGGGTTCCAAGGGACCCCCACACCTGCGGGATTCTATCCCACCAAAGCACTCTAATTGAATCCTTAACAGACCTCCTAGTACGCTTACTCTGAACTCTCGTTTTCAGTTCCTACACATGCACAGTAGGTGGTTGCCTTTTAAATATTTTATGTGTTAGATAATTGAAGATTTTCAGCCTTTGAAGGAGAAGGAAAAAACCTTGCAAAGTTGTTGGTTCCAGTAACAATATGTTTGAGCAATGAGCTCAGCTGCGAAGGGTGTGTGTGTGTGTTGGGGCAGCCAGGACCAGGACTGGGAACTGGGATCCCGGACCAGGGTTTCCAAATTTAACCAAGGCCAACATTTCAGAAGACTTTCATGATACTTCACTCATCTTTCCTCACACCGTGTACAGTTTGTCCTGATCCGATCAGCAGCTCTTTTCATATATCGTCTGTTTATTTACACAGAAAAGTTTATCCAGGTGAAGTACCTAAGACCCTGAAAATCCAAGGGGTCACAAACCACTTTGCTGCACTTAGAACATATTCAGCTTACCTGTGTACAAGGTTACGGGTCTTACCAGCTACCCCAGTTCAAGGAGCCTACTAGTAACGCTGATCCTGTTTTATTCTGTCTCTGCTTTCCATTCTGTATCAGCTGTGTCCTCGCTGGACGCCCTATCGGATAGTCTGATGAACCCTGCTGACTTCAAGTCTGTTCTCCACCATTCAGGTGAGAACATAATCAATGAACTTCACATTGGAAGGTTAAAATCATCTGAACACATTATCGTTATTATACAGACATCTCTTTTTTTTTTAAGAAGGACATAAGGCGCTTAACATACATTTCAATAATATATTTTGAAATCAAACACAATTTAAATATATTATAGATTAAGTAGACATATATTTAGGCTTCAGAAAACATAGTAGTGGTACACAGTACCAAAAAACCATACCCACAGTCTTTTTTTCTGCTTATTATTAACAGTTACACAATGTGTCTCAATAGAATAAGATATTCACTACGTACACCTTCCCTTGAAACAGTCATTGTGATTATTTGCAACATGTTATACAAAAAATCATTTTTTAATGTATAGAACTGTGACCACCAGAAAAGAAACGAACATTTACAATTGGGTAGAAAGTATTTCACAAGGGTAAACCATAAACCTACAGCTGTATAACAGGGAGTCTAGAGAACTTGTTCTTTTAGCACTGGGGTCCAAGGGAGTTTTCTACAACTTGTCAAAAAACAACTGTGCACTATAAATGACACGAATAGGGTGATAAGGATGAATCGATTTGCACTGCTAGGACAGCTAATGGTTACTCTTTCAGTTATAACACATTCCCATCTGGTCCACAGGATATGGGAAAAGGAGACACTGGCTTCCCCCCCCCAAGAGTGTTCACAAAAGACAGTGGGGCGAGAATACCCCCCCCCCAAAAAAAAAATGCCTTCATAGATAAAACCATACTGTGGCAAACTTGATCAGAGATCACCTGTTCCTTTAAAATAAGTGTAAACGAATTCCTAATAAAAAAAATTGAAAAGAAAGACCAGGCCTTTGCCAACTTTGCGAAGACCTTTTGATTCATGTGGTCTCACTCAGCAGCCGCTGTAAAAATGGAGCAGGAGGGAACCCGAGCACCTTTACTGAACTTCCCACGCCACCTGCGGCCTCTTCAAGCAGCCACTGCGTTCCTTGAGTAGGAGGTTCCCGCTTGGGCCTGTGTGCAGCTGCTCCGTTTTTCTTCTTCATTCGTGTAAAAGCCTTCATAGTGTTAGAATGGGGGGGGGGGTTAGAGTTCAAAGCTCACATGTGACGTGGTGCCTGAGGTCGTGGAGCGGCTTGTCAGTCTTCATATGAATGAAGGAGTAACGTTCTATTAATACAGTGTGCAGTTACTCGCCACTGGCCCCTCTGCCAGCATCCCCCATCGGATTCTGAACAACTCTTCGGCTGGGAGAATGAGATTTCCTTCAGTTCTTCAGGGGGTCATAGCTGTGGACAGGAGGAAACAACTGTTGAGAAGGTGACTAGGGACTTGATAGGACTGACCCTCTGTGCACGCTACACAGCTGGCAGTACAGAGCCCAGCAATATTTTCACAACCAGGCACAAACCTGAAAGGGGTATTCGTCATTCCATAACCATCACACGAAGTTCCAGGGAATGGGAAAAAAAAAAACAACCCCCGTCTTACAAAACTAAAAATAAAACTGGGCGCACCTGCTGAGATTTATTCTCGCAATACGGTTTTGAGAGAGCCTGGGTGATGACATTCTACTTCCATCATTTGTTTCCATCTTAGGAAAAACTGAACAAGATAGCAAACAGTTCCTGAATATGACTCAAAATCAACAACATGTCTAAGTTCTATGACAAAGCAGAGGCTGTGGCATGCTAGGACATGAAACATTAACACTCATGTCCACTCCGATTTCAATAATGCTGTTGTACAGCATTATATTTAAGAAAGGAAAAAACAACAATGTTGCACTGATTGAGCTCAAAACTACCTCCAACAGTGATATAGAATTGACAAGAGAGATATTAAAGCAAAAGCAACATGCCAGAATCACAGTGCAGTCGGCTACCTTAGTGGACTTCTCACAAGGGGACTCGTGCTGTGCCTGATGCATGACATCATTCACGATCATCTTTGCAATTTTCCAGGCCATCTCCTCCTGGGCCTGTATCGCACAAGAGAAAAGGCTGTGAGGTTTCTTTCCAAGGGACAGGTGAACTACAGAAGTACAAAGTACAGAACAGGGGTACTCAGCTCCCAGGACTCCTAAACTAATCCTAAAAATAAACTAATCCAGTGGAACCTTAATGGCATAAATTTAACACTTCTTGCAGGTGAAGAGCTGCTGGTAACTTAAGATGACACAGAACACCTGCAGGACTCTGAACTCTAAAAAACATGTTGTAACAGCTTGTACAGAAGCAGACAGTGGTTAGCACCTTTATCCATGTGAATAAATGAACAGATACAGTAACTAATTCAGGGCAGGTGAATTACTGTCTTTTGTTTTAATGTTTGTCAATGTCAATGAAATAGTCTTAACTACAAGAAAAGAAACCAACCATGTACTGTATATGAGGATGCACTGATTTACACATAATTAACTGTCAAACAGTGTAATTATAAGGATACTAGGAGCAACAGAACGACCCCAAGTCACCTTGTGCTAACATACCTCATCTGAATTCCCTTGTACCCATTTTTTCATGGCTTGGGAAAACATGGAGCCTGAGATAGTAGGAAAAGAGAAACACGTTTGATTTACTTCACACTGGGCTCTACCAGGAACTCCACAAGCACCAGGGAGTCAAAGAAAAATGTCTTCAGTTTATAATTTCTCCCTCCTGCCATTACAAGGTCAGGTCAGGACTTTTGAACTAAACTTAAATCTCAAAGCACAGTTCAAGGTGGTGGGGCAGCCAGAGTCTATCCTGGCAAGCAACAGGCACAAGGCAGGGTACAGCCTGGACATGATGCCAGTCCATCGCAGAGCAGACACAGACACCACTCACACTAGGACCAGGTTTTCCAGAAGCGAATGAAACTACCAGCATTTAAGTCAAATTTATCAGCAATATGCTGTATTAAAACTCCCACAACCGGCCCCTTTGAAGTGTACGAGTTTTTAAAATGTTTTACATTTAACAAAAAGCGATGGAAAGATACCCCCCCCAGAAAATATGGCAGTATGGTACAAAAAGCTGTAAAATGTCTTAGAATTGTAGCAGGGCACCTTTCGACTTCTTGACATCTGGCTCTGGCTCGGCCTCTCTGATAAACTGTCCGAGTTCATTCACTTTCCCGAATGTCATTCTTCTGAAGGAAAAAAATAAATTCCATCATCACATGAGGCGCCACTGGAGTTCAAACTGCCTGTGGCTGCAGGACATGAACAATTCCCCCAGCCTGAACAGAGCTGCTCTGTTCCTGTGTATCTGGCCATGTGAAAACGAATCTGTGACTCTCACTGCTTATGACTCATGCTTGTGAACAGCTCTTACCAGTGCCCTTCTTGTATATGAGGAATCAAGTTTTCTTTTGTTCACAGCTGCAAAAGTTTCAACAGCTGTCTTTATTGTTTTCTCCAAAACTTGTTTTACCAGATCTCAAAGGCGAAGCAGCACAGTTTTAATATGTATGAATAGATTTATTACTTTTCTGAGGAAGGACTAAGTACTTTCATATGTATGTCTCCATTAAAAGCAAGTCTAGTCTTGCTGTCATCTTACCATGAATAGATTACAGAATTCCAGCTGAACACATTTTCACTGCAGTTTGTAACTGTTTTGTTCTTGTTTTCACAGCTGATTGTTTCCTGTATGGAGCTATTGAATTATGTGGAATGGTAGTGTAATAGGTACAGAGCAAGATGTGTGTACAGTATATGTATTGCTGCATGTCTAGGACTACTGAGTGTTGTGTTTTGTAGTTTTTTTTATGGTGATGCCAAAGACATATTTCCACCCTTTTGGATGGACAATAGAGATGTATCTTTTAGGTAAACTCAGGTTCAAAACCTTCAGATATTAAAGAGAAAGACAAAAAGATTTTCTACAAAACAACTTCCTCCACACATATAACTGCTACGTTTCTACAAGAGGAAAAGAATCACCCTTTGTACCAAAGAATGGAATAAACCATAACTGTATTTCAGAGCTGCTGCTCTTAAATATAAAGACTGAAAGCTTTCAGCCTCAGATGAGTAGTTCTTTTAATACATGAAGACAGAAAAAAATAGGACAACTTATTACCCTGCATATGGGCGCTGATAGAGAGACTCTGGTTCCAAACTGGCAATGTCCACAGTTATTGCTTCATCGAAGTTTTTTAGGATTTTGATTGCTGCTTTTTTGGCGCCTTGCTGTAAACCAGAAGGAACGTAGACATCAGACGAGAAACTCAACAGATGGCCATCTGTTCACACACCTGGAAGAAAGAGACTCGTACCTGGGTGTGTGTCCCCTCCGAGCTGCTCGAACCTGTCTCGCTGTCCTGGGGAAGACCATGGCCTGGCACCAACATGTTCCCTGTGATACAATCGTCCCCTCGAACGGAGTTGATCAGGTCACTCAGATACTTGTAGTACAGGTTACTGGATAAAAACCCAGGCAGGTACACCTGTACAGAGAAGAAAGAGGGATATTGATTAAAAAATAAGAACGCGCCACAAAACGCATTTCAGAGTCTGACAAAGGCTAGATGAAAATTGAGTTAATTAAAGAGATCAGGTTATACAACCAGGAATTAGGAAATTAGTACCTACTGTAAGTATTCTCAGCGGGGTACGTTGTCAGGGGGAAGAAAATTAGCAACGCACAATGCTCTGAAGCCTAAGGGTGGAGCTTCATGTACTGAAAAGGGCAAAGTGATGGCGCACCTTCTCCATCGTGGTCCATGCCTGGCGTAGCGGAGTAGTGAAACAATCGGGGAGCGGCCCGCCCTCCCTGCAGATATTGGACTCGATTTCTAACCGCACGGAGTCGTCGAAGCCCAGGGGTTTCGTAGCCTGCAGAGAGAAGTACCTGCAAGACAGTCCAATAAGGGGACAGGCGGCAGAGACATGAACGAATTGCTGTGATGCCCCTTTCCTCAAAATCAGTTTTACAGGGTCCGCAGTGGTGTCAGTGAGGAGCCCAGTCATTTCAGCCACTTGTCTACGCTGTCCACCAAATTTACACATAACTTAAAGAAAATGAAACGTATTTGTCAAGACAAGGGTAACTTAGTCCTGGTGGATGTCTGGACCAGGGAGCAGGAAGAGCGGAGTGGCTGAGTGTCCCTGTGGTGTTGAGGAAGAGTGTGAGGGAAGACATCTTGCTCACTTGTCATAGAGGATCATGGCGTCGTTCTGCGCCTCCTGCCCGTCGTACTGGCCTTTCTTAGCAGCCAGCTGATCCTGGAAGTTGTCTGCGGCCAACCAGAACTGCAAGATATTCACAGCTTCTTCCTTCTCCATGTACTGCGGCCGGAACGAGACAAGAGGAAACAGAACTGCTGATGACGCCTTTATCACCCAGCTGACTGACAGCTACATGCTAGAAAAAATGTGTTGATTTTTAGAACGTCCCTTTAAGACCTAAAACAACACAGCTGTTGCTGTCAACATGCTGATCTTTTCCTAGTAAAGCTAAGCTGCAGTTAAGTAATTCTTTAACGGATATTCTATTAATGCCCAACTTACTTTCAGCCGAGGTTCCCCAGAATGTTAATAATCTATGACGACCTATCTACAGCAGTGTTCATGCTAACCCTAACCTAACCTCATCACTACTGAACACCTGGAGGTGCTTTAGCAACTGGACCTCAATTGATAGTAAATTTATGACTAATGGAATAACTGTTAAATATCTGTTGCTTAATCTGCTAGATCAATTCTAAGAAGCAACAGTCATGTCTCCTTGTTTACGATGAATTTTATTTTATTTTAGTGTTATGGTTAACAGATGCGCTTCACACAAATCAGGGTTTAAAGGAATACCCCTACACTAAGAGGCTGCAGGAACTAAACCTTTTAGTTTTAAAAACAGAAAACTATGGGGAATTCTGATTACAGTATGCAGAATCCTCAAAACCACAGGCAAGGTCAGCCCAGAGGAATTCTTCAGAATCGACAGTGAAATGTAAACTAAAGAGCACGAGTGGAAGTGTTTTTAAAACTGAGAACAGCAGGTACTTCTTTATGCAAAGGGTGGTGGGAGTACGAAACAAGCTACCCAGCCCTGCTGTTGAAGCCAACACACTAGCTTCCTTCAAGAAGGGGCTGGATGAACTACTTAGATCAATATGTTACTAATTGCCTAACAGGCTAGATGGGCAGAATGGACTTCTCTCATTTGTTACCATTCTTGTGCTTGCATGTTCTTAAAAAACAGCAGGCACATTTTAAAACATAAGCTCAAAGAAAAACCTCTTTTGAGCTACAGCACATACAGTCAGCATAGATCTCGCTTATCATAAACCTTAAAAACCTCAATTTTGGTTGACATAACAATAACACAGCTGGCATTCTAACACCTTAAAGAAGGGGTAGAAATAATCCAAGACCTCTTAATGCGTGAGAGAGACTTTGCCAGCCTTGTTCCCCCATTCAGCTCC